CATGCGCCCAATGGCAGAAACCTCTCAAAAAAAAAAAAAACCCACAGGTGGGGGCCAGCAGATGGCATAGCAGTTATGTCACTGGACTCCCATATGGTTGACTGCAGTTTGAGTCCCGGACCTAGTGGCTTGAAACTCACACCGGACTCATGTGCGTGCGTGCCCAAGATCCTGGGAGGTGAATGGAGAAGGGAATGCGATGTGGCCATCACCCCTGGGGGATGATTTCTCATTTTACCCCTCACTGTTTCCGTCTCTGTCCCTCTCTCTGTTGAGTACACACGCCCTAAGGAAAAAACCTCTACAGAAATAAAGAAAAAAAGAAAACCCACACACAGATGAAATGAAACTAAATAAAACTGAGACACAGCACCAATTTTTCAAGAGTCAGTGGAATCAAGAGTCAGTCCCATGACCTGGCTGACAGAGGAAAAGCACACCCGATGTAGAAAAAATACTTTGTAGATCAACTCATACTGACTGTTCACTAGAAATACCCAGCACTGATCTTCAAAGTATGACACGATGGTCCAGCAGGTGGCGTGGTAGATAAGACAAACCTACATGGCTGACTCAGTGGTTTGAGGCCTGGATTTGGCAGAACAACACCAGATGGGGGGGCCATCAGGTGGCGTGGTGGTTAGGGACACTGGACTCCCACATGGTAGACTGCAGTTCAAGTCCCGGACTTGGCAGCTTGCTTTCTCACTTTCTCTCATCAAATTTAAATAAATAAAGTTAAATAATTCTAAAGAAAGAAAGCAAGAAAGAAAATCACCAGATGTGTGTGAGTATGTGCCTATAAAACACCAAGAGAATAAAAGAAAAGAAATTGTGGTGTGGCCATCTCCCTAGGGGGTGATTTCTCACTTTCCCTAAGTCGGTCTCTGGTGAGCACACGTGCCCTATGACAAAAACCTAAAAAAAAAAAAAAAAATTCAGGGCAGCAAAGGCAGAAAATTTATGTCTAACAGACTAGCACTTGATAAATAGTAAAGATGTTTTGGGGCCAGATCTATGATGTAGCAATAATGAACTTTTCGAGAGAAGCAGATCCCACGTGGCAATCCTGGTGTGGGACCAGCAGTTGGTGTAATGGCTATGTCACTGAACTCCCATGTAGTCAACCGCAGTTCAAGTCCCAGACCCGGTGGCTTAAACTCACACTGGGCACATGTGTGTGCATGCCCAGGATCCTGAGAGGAGAATGGAGGAGAAGGGATTGCGGTGTGGCCATTCCTCCCTGTGGGGGTGATTTCTTGCTTTCTGTCTCTCTCTGTCTTTCTGGCAAGCATACGTGCCCTATAGCCAAAACCTCTCCAAAAAAATTTTTTTTTTCCTGGTGTGAATCCCTCACCTAGTCAACCTGACACACTGTGGGCATGCATGTGGGTGCACAAGAGCTGATAGTCACGGGGCTGGAGGAAGGGGATTGTGGTGTAACCAGAGCCTAGGAAGATCCTCCTCTCCCCCTCTCTTGCCCTCTCTCGTGGGGGTACACAAATTCTATTATGAATGAAAAAAAAATTTAAGCAATCTTCAACAGCTCCACTTATCCTGGCTCTCTGGTCTAGTAATTAAGACAGCTGGATCCCACATGGCCAACCAGGGTTTGAGTCCCAGCCCTGGTGGCTTGAAAAATATGCTAGGTACATGTATATGTGCCCAGGATCCTGACAGGATGGAGAATTGGAAGGAAAAGGATTATCGCAGGAACAGGTCCCTTGGGGGTGCTCTGTCTCTGTCTCTCTGTCTCTCTCATGCTTGCACATGCCCTCTGGAGATTAAAAAAGACAAAAACTGAAAGTGAAAAAGATACCTGACATCTGTGGTGAAAGACTGAATTATTTTTATTTTATTTGTGGATGTGTGCATGTTACTTTATTAGACAGGATTTTTATTTATTTATGGGGCCAGCAGCTGGTGTGGTGGTCGAGGGCGCTGGACTCCCACATGGCTGACTGCGGTTTAAGTCCTGGATTTGGTGGCTTGCTTTCTCACTTTCCCTCTCTTTCTCTCACTCTGCCCCCTCTGGTCAAATTAAAACAATGAATAAACAAAGTTAGGAAAAAATAATCCTTTTTAAAAAAGAATTATTTTGTTTAACTTTGTATATTTAATTTGACCAGAGAGGGACAGAGCAAGAGGCGGAGGAGTAGGTATGAGAATCCAAGCCACCAAGTCCAGGACTCAAACTGCAGTCGGCCATGTGGGAATCCAGCTTCCTTAACCCCCATGCCACTTGCCGGCCCCTACACAGGGTTTTGCTATGTTGTTATCCTCCTATTTCCGCCTCCTGAATAAGCTGGAACCACAGGTGGATGTCATCAGACCCAGGAATCGAACCTGGACCTCCCACGTGGCCTCAGCCTGCTAAGTAACAGTTTTCAGTGTATGCTGGCTTTTTCCCTTACCCCCATTTTTAAAAGGTTTTTGCTGTAGAGTTAGTGTGCTCACCAAAAAGACACTGAGAGGGAAAGTGAGAAATCACCCTCTGGGGTGGATGGCCACACTGCAATTCCTTCTCTTCCTTTCTCCTCCCAAGATCTTGGGCATGAATGCACATGCGCTTGGCTTGATTTTTTTTTTTTTTTTGGGGAAGTTTTTTGCTATAGGGCACATGCGCTCGCCAGACAGACATAGAGAGCGAAAGAAAGA